TCCACGATTTATAAAGACTGAAGCAACATTTAGAATCCGCTGACACACTTTCAGTCAATGGGTTTTCTCCCTTTAAGAGTAAACTTACTTTTACGGAAACATTTAGGAGACGCAGAGAATGGCTTTCCGCGGTACACAGACTTCTATAGAACAAAAGGATAATAATCAGAATTCCTTGGAAAAAGAAAAGAAAAATTAAATTTATTCTTTGATTTACTTTCGAAGTAACTATGGTTTAAGAGTGAAGAGTCTAGAAAGGTTCTAAAATGTTATAAGCATAAAAACCTGAAAGGCATGGAGCTGATTGTAATTGAAGATTAAAATATAGGGTTTTTTTATACGGACAAAATTACCTCTAGTAGGAGGATCGCCCTCCTTGTGGGAGATCTTATCCAGCTGTTTTTTTCTTAATGGCACCGAACTGTTCTCATATAAATCACAAAGTTGAATCTGCGGTAAAAGAGACCCTGGATAGGGGATCTCTCGCATTCATGGTAGGATTTCCCTGGGAGAAGACCAAACTTTTTTCCCATTTAACGCTTTGTAGCTATTTCACTAACCTAAAGGAGTGGAGAAATAGTAGGAAATGGTTGGTTGTTGTTGCTGTTAGAAATTGAAGCATATAGAGCATGCGTAAAACCGGGAGGACCAATATTTTGATCCTTCTTTATGGAAAGCTTTTTTCATATCGTGCTCGGTAAAAGTTTTCTCAGGGGAGATGGCAACCCTCCTACCAGGGACAATTCTTCTCGAAATAAACAAGCCCTAATTTTCACTGCATTTGCCGCGATAACACTAATGAACAAATCTTGCTCTATTTTAGTAGAAACATATGTGCTGGATGCGGCGAAGAGCTTGTTATGCTGGTAAGTAAATTAAAATGCTCGAGTTAACCCTAGAAAGAATTCCGCAAAAGCAAAGAACAACTTTTGAGTTTAGTTATATCTTGTGCAACTTTGAAAATACCGAGAGAGAGACAAAGACAGTGTCCGTTATGTTAGTTGGTCGACCCATAAAGTAAAGAAACAAAAACATGCATAAAAAATAAATATGCACATTCTCAAACTTATATTATGCTACATTAGTTATCCGATGAATAATAAACTAATGGTCATTACTCCTCACTAGAATACTATGGCTACGGATACCAAAAACCAATCCTCCAGCACAGTGCCGTCTGGTGACTCCGCGACCTATGCAGCTCCAAGCCGCGGAGACTACATGTCTCTTCATCCATCAGCACGAAGCTGGGAACTTAATCGAGAACAGGTCAACATTCTTAAAGTCATTGGCAAAGGAGCTCTTTCTCAAGTTGCCAAGACAACAGCATGGAACATAAGCAGTGACGAGGAATACTCAACGGTTGCTGTCAAAATGCTGAAAGGTGCGATTAGAAATTTCAAACTGTCGAGATGATAAGGAATGAATGAAAAGGATCTGTTATTTGTTTTGATTTGTAGCGAATGCCCCGGATTAAGACAGAAAAGACTTGCTGTCAGAACTTGAAGTGATGAAAAACCTGAAGCCTAATCCTTATGTGATCAAGCTGATGGGATGTGTTACTGAGTCGAGTAAGGGAAATCTGATGGGACATTATTATATGGCAAACTAGTCCACGATCAAATAAAATTCTGATTAGCTATCTGGCGAACTACTTTTCCAAGGCATTTCACAAAAGAAAGCAATTTGTTGTGAAATAGAAATCTTGTTTCCTTCATGTTAGTTTACACTAGCTTTCACGAAGGCGACTAAGGAAACGTGAATAAATGCTTAAAGTGATTCCTCACAATTGCATTGCGCATCCCTACCGCGCACAATTTTCGCATCATTAGCTCGCGCTCACGAGCGCGTGCACATACACAACACAAACAAAATGGTGGCTTTTTCTAAACGACTTGACTTGCGAAAGACAAATCATCGTTTTTCCCTCGGAAACGAGTACCGGGACTTGACGATTTTTTTTTTATTCAGTTTGAATGCAGAGATCACCTTCTTTCTATACAGTGAATATGGACCAATTTCTATTGCAGAGTAAAAAATTATCACGGAAAACGAAGCATAGCTAGCACTCGTAAAAGATAATATGTGGCAACAGAACACTGCGTGCCTGAAACATATTGTATCCCTGTCGACTAGATACGAGTGCCTTTATCATGAAACGTACATCAAATTGTTTCTTAACATCGATACAATACATCCATTGTTATATTTCTCGCTTAACTTTCTCCCTGATTTTTTCTCTGATCTTAAAGCGTAAGGTGAATGGTTCAAATATAAACGTTTCTGAAAGCAGATAATTTTAGGAATTATTTGGTTTATTGAAGGTTATCCTGCTCCTAAACGAATACCGGGAGCCCCCTTTTTTATTTCAAAATTTTAAGTTCTCTTGATATAAGCAGCCAACAGGTAAAGGGTTTGAAAGAAAATCTATTGTGAGTTATATTTCAATAGAATTACCTTAAATTTGGCTTGCGCGGTTATCGAGATTGGATAATTAATTAGCAGAGTTAAAAGAGTCATTACTCAAATTAAATACTTTATTATATTGAACTAGCGTGTTCATTTAGTGTTGAGTTCTCGTTCTTTCGGTCCTCAACCAAAACCTCAACCAAAATTGTCCAAATACACTACTCAAGCTAGTTTAATAACAGTAGACGAAAACACTGAACCCTCATCATTGTGTGATCAAGATGATTGCATGTGATACTGAGACTGGTAAAGGAAATGTTGATTAACGTGTGACCAAACTGAGGATGAAGCACTAAAAATAGTGACGGAACTTTAAAATAATAAAATAAGATGTCACTGATGTAATCGTTAACTATGCCATCTATCTTTATTTATTTTACAATTGAGGTTTGCCACCCACGTACCTGTCAGACATGTGAAATTGAATGTAAATGGTAAAGCGCGACCTGAATCAACAGGTCAAAAACAACAATTTGATGCTTTCCTTGTAAGCACCTTGACCGGTAGTTTATGATCAGTTGCACGCGCACTTTTTTTTACTGTTACAACTTTGAAATTTTATACATCGCAACATTATGTAGTGAACACTTGTTATAACTTAACCGCTAGACTGACGATGACAGAGGTACCGTCGAAACATGTCCGAAGACTAAAAAAAGTTGTTTTGTTTCTAAGAATTTTAACATGTAAAATTATAATGAAAGTGGTGGTTGCTCAAACTTAAAAGAGCTTCTTGTCTATCTTGGTATTTTGCTTCAATGTCGAACTTTTCAATGATTGACCCTTTGCTTGTGATAATTGATTTTGTCCCGCGCCTCTCTTAAGCAGGTTACACTGTGATGGGCGTCAGAGGGAACCATTATTTTTATTTTCAATTTACAGTAGATCCTTTGCTTGTCCTTATTGAGTACGTGCCATACGGTGATCTGCTT